ATAAGGGGAAATCCCTTTCAAAACACTTCCTGATCATTCGCAGGATTAGGACGATCAAAGAAATTAATACAATGCTGATACTATATATCAATATCATTTTTAAATGATGATGCACAGCTTCTGGTAGACCTTGACACTGTTCTCTAAGAGTTTGCAAGAACAAACATTCTGCCAAACGTAGGAACTACAGTGATTGTTCCAGATACGGGGCATTACTCCTTCTTCTGTTACTTTATTAAATAGATTTGTCATAAATATTGTGACAAGTTCATCCTTTTCATTTAAACACAATGTGTATCAAATTGCTTTGTACCTAAATTCCAGTTCATGTATTTTAGGCAAGAGGTTAGGGGTTCTGTTCTTCTGTTCCTTTCCTTCTCTGTCCTGCAATAGGAAGTCAGACTATTATGTTTTCCCTGCAATACCAGTTTAAGAGCATCCCAAACTATGTGTCAGCATCCTTAATTCAAATTAAAATGGTTTCCAATGTATCATAGAATCATAGAGTTGGAAGGGACCTCCAGGGTCATCTAGTCCAGCCCCCTGCACAATGCAGGGAATTCACAAATGCCTCCCCCACACAGACACACCCAGTGACCGCTGTTCCTTGCCCAGAAGATGACAAAAAAACCTCCAGGATCTCCAGCCAAACTGGCCTGGAGAAAATTTGCTTCCTGACCCCAAAGTGGCGATCGGCATTTCCCTGGGCGTGTAAGAAAGGGCCACAAAAACTAAGCACTGATGCAGCTCTTCCTGCCCTCCCTCTCATGATCTGCCTCAGTTCACAGAATCAGCATTGTTGACAGATGGCCATCTAGCCTCTGTTTGAAAACCTCCAAAGAAGGAGAGCCCACCACCTCTCGAGGAAGCCTGTTCCACTGAGAAAACAGCTCTGACTGTCAGAATATTTACTCAGTTTTTCTACCACCAGATCTCACACGAGTAACTAGCAGAGGCTGCAAACCTAAGAAACCCGGAGTTGTACCTCAAACATTTGCCATGTATTGCTTTTCCCTTTCTACCGTGGCTCAGTGGTAGAGCATCTGCTTGGTGTGCAGAAGGTTCCAGGTTCAATTCCCAGCATCTCCCGCTAAAAGGACCAGGCAGGATGGGAAAGTGATGGGAAAGACCTCTGCCTGAGACCCTGGAGAGCTGCTGCCAATCTGAGTAGACAAAAAACTGACTTTTATGGACCGAGGGTCTGGTGCAGTGTAACGCAGCTTCATGTAAGCTATAGTCTCACATCCTCAACTCGACTGAATACCATGTCCATTTGAAGCTATCACACTAAAACATTATCAAATCACTAATTCTCTGAAATCCCCCCCACCCAGTTACTCTTTCCTCTACACCAGTATCAAATAGCTGTCGTGTTGCATTCCCGTGGAAACATGTTTCCCTGTGGTAAGTAAAGGTTTCCCTTGCTCCAAAGCTAGTTGAATCTGACTCTCTATGCCAGTGGTGGCGAACCTATGGCACGGGTGCCAGAGGGGGCACTCAGAACACTCTCTGTGGGCACGCGTGCCATCGCCCCAGCCAGGCCCAGACCACCATTAAAGTGTCGAACTCTCTGCCAAATAATTTTAAGTAAATGAAAGCATTTGGGATTGCTTTCCTTACTTTGGATCATCTTAAGTTAATGTATGAGTTGTTTTTTTCTAACGTAAAACCTCAGTATTCAGGTTTAATTGCCATGTTGGCACTTTGCGATAAATAAGTGGGCCTCAGTGCTTAGTTCTCGTGGCCCTTTCTTACACACAGAGATCAGTTCCCCTGAGGGGAAATGGCAGCTTCAGAGAGTGGACTCTGGCTTTGCAACCCTCTTCTCCTCACCCACCCCAGGATCCATTCCCCAAAACTCCACGAATTTCCCAGCTCAGAGCTGGCAACCAGTGTCCCCTCTAAGCTGAGTTAGTGTGAGCTAGCTCACAGTTCTTTAGCCTCCAGCCCACACATTTTTGTCTTCGCTCAGGAAGGAGGGCTCCAGAGCAAACTGATTTATGCAGCAGCCAAATCGCTCCCTCACAACTTTCATGCCAGCGGCTCACAAACTAGAATTTTTCCTCACAAGACTCCACAGCTTAGAGGGAACATTGCTGGCAACCCTATTACTCCAGGGTGTCTAGAGTGGAGTAACTCTGCATAAGTATGCACCGTGTTAGCCATATTTGGAGATAAAAGAAAGAGGAAAGACTTGGGCTTAGAACCTCACCACGGGAAGACAATTTTATCCAGTTCCTCCTTCCCACTACAGGGCCCTCTTCTCCCCACAGCTGTTCAGTGGGGTCCAGAGACCACTGGGGCTGCAGCAAGAAGGGGGAGGCAGGAAAATCCATGTATATAAGTCCCTTTCCATTTGCACTAGTTGGATCCAGCCAGGTTTCTCACTCTACCTCACCTAATTCCCTTCTTGACTACAACCCTTGTGCCACAAGGCTTTTGTTCATATGAGTCCCACGATCCCTGGCATAGCCTTTTCTGGATGGTTGAAGGGCACCTGCCCTTCCTGTTTCACCCACAGAAAAGCCACTTGGATCTAAACCTTGGTGTCCATCTGTTTGTACAGGGGTCATTTCGTAGAAAAGGAGGTGCAGGAGCTCATTAGCATAACGTATTTGCATATGACACACGCCCTGACAACACCAGAAGTGTGTCAGAAGGCAACACCCACCACTTAGGCTCCACTGGACAGTTTTGGATTGCTAGCTATTGGGGGGGGGGGGAATGGGCAGATCTGTCCTTGCAGAGGAGGGAGAGCTTGTACCTGAATAAAACTTGGTCTTTTAAAAAAAAGATTTATTTATGATTTTTACATTACAAAGAGAAAAACAAAGTTGATCTTAAAGGTGCCACTGGACTGTCTTGGACCGGGGGGGCAGGGGGAGCTCTGCAACTTACCTGGCTGCTTTTTGCTCTGACTGAGGGCTGCTGGGAGCAGGGGGTGGGGCTTGTTGCATGTGCCCGCCACCTCATCTCTTGACTGCCGGAGCTGCGCTCCTGGGCAGTCCTGCAGGAAATGACCCCTGTGTTTGTAACTGAGAGCCGTCTCCAAGAACAGAGTGGCCTCAGTCCCATCTCAGCCACTGTCCTTCAGAGACTAGCCAAGCATCTAGCCGAGGTCGTTTCCTAATGCCCCAGTTTTCCATGTACAGGGAAGCATCCTTGTTTCTGTTTTGGTCCTGTGGAGGTAGGTCTTCCCTTGACAGATCTATCAACAGGAGATGGCCCATGTTTACCAAACACAGCATTCTGGAAGGAAAGGCTGATTACTCGTGGCAATTGCCTGCATATCATAACAACAGGGAGCCGAGCTGTCTTCTAGCGATATTACTCTTGAGGGGCCATTTCCCACGGGTCACCGATAATTTATTAGTAGCATTTCGGTTTCTCCTCTCATTTCCCTCCAAGCCATGACCAAAGCTGCAGCTGAACACCACTGTCAGACCACAGTCTCTGCCAACAGTCTGGAGAGAGACTGAAAGAGAAGGTTCATGTTATGCATCTGCTATTCTTCACTGGTTTTCGTGATTTTAACTTAATTATCAGTGAATCCAAACACTCTGGGGCTGCTGCTTTCTTCCAGTCCGACCTGTTTTATGGGGTTCCGTGCGCCTTGCTGTTTAGTCATGCCGGCCACATGACCACGGAAGCGTCTTCGGACAGCGCTGGCTCTTCGGCTTGGAAACGGAGATGAGCACCGCAACCCTAGAGTCGGATTCGACTGGCTTTTGAGCAAGGGAGACCTTTACCTTTTTAATACTGGCTTGCTGTGACCTGGATGGCCCAGGCTAGCCCGATCTCATCAGATCTCAGAAGCTAAGCAGGGTTGGCCTTGGTTAGTACTTGGATTGGAGACCACCAAGGAAGTCCAGGGTCACTATGAAGAGGCAGGCAATGACGTTTGGTTTTTTGTTTGTTTTTCTGTACTCGGGGTAATCTGTATTGCACCCGAAACATTCTAAAAAGGCATTCCCTGCGATTCGATTAGGACTTCCATTTTATCATGACATAGGTGAGTGTCATTACATAAGAGATTGTGTGTGCGTGGCTTTCTAAATGGAACTTGCATATTCAAGCTTAGCCTCACTGGCATTATTTTGGCCTTCCTTCAGCCCATGAAAAGATAGAGCCACAGGAACTGTGTGAAGTGCGCCCAATGTTTCTTTAACGATAGCAATAATGTTATAGATATGAAAATTGCAAAAGTGATACTAATACACTCAAGTTGTAAATCCAGTTACATATGATAGAAGATCACAACGACGGCGGGACGGTGGTCTCCAGAATGTGATGCCGTTTCGACAAACGTCTTCTTCTGACCAAGAATCTAGAAGTGGATGATGTTTGGAAAGTTGCACTTCAATAGAAAAGCTACCCGATTCACATGAAGTTCAATAACAGTTTCACCTATTTCATTGCACAAGTAATGGAGAAAATTTCTCCCCACTTATAGATTCTTGGTCAGAAGAAGACGTTTGTCGAAACGGCATCACATTCTGGAGACCACCGTCCCGCCGTCGTTGTTATCTTCTATCATATGTAACTGGATTTACAATTTGAGTGTATTAGTATCACTTTTGTAATTTTCATATCTAAAACATTATTGCTATCGTTAAAGAAACATTGAGCGCACTTTACACAGTTCCTGTGGCTCTATCTTTTCATGTCTATGGACTGTGACCATATTTGTCTTTGTACATACTTCCTTCAGCCCAGACATGAAGACAATTTAGCATGTGCAAGATAGGAAGGGAATGACTCCCAGCCACATTCAAAAGCATAATATGTGGCCCAAAGTTACTCTTTAGACTTAACAACGTATAGCTACCCGATGCAGCTTGTTTCTGCAGAAAATGGACATGATATCTGAACTGCAGGAGGACTGCTCTCCTTCCCTAACTGATTGGCATGTATCTTTAGCACTTCTTTTTCTAGGGATACAAATAACCAGTCAATAAAGGTATATCATGCATAACGATAATTTTCTTATCTATTTTTAGATGGAGGTAGTCAATGGGACTAGAATTCGGGAATTCGTTTTGCTGGGATTTGAACTCGGGCAGCGGAAGTGTTTCCTACTCCTCATCTTCTTCAGCATTCTCTATGTGTTGACACTGGCTGAGAACATCACCATCATCACACTGGTGGTTCTAGACACCCACTTGTCCCGGCTTCCCATGTACATCCTGCTGAGCAACTTCTCCTGGCTGGAGATCTGTTATGTGAGCACCACTATGCCCCGGATGCTCTTTGACCTGGCCTCATCCCACAAGACCATCTCCTTCAGTTCCTGCTTCCTCCAATTTTACATCTTCTTCTCTCTGGGCACAACAGAATGCTTCTTCCTCTCATCCATGGCCTTGGACCGGTACTTGGCCATCTGTCACCCACTGCGCTATCCACAAATTATGTCTCCAAATTCTTGTTATGTTTTGGTAACGTCTTGTTGGCTCCTTGGATTCCTGGTGTATGTCATCCCAGTGACTTTGATTTCCAGTATGACTTTCTGTGGTCCCAATGTTATCGACCATTTTTTGTGTGATCCTGGGCCAATTCTGTCATTGGCTTGCCCTCCACTAGCAAATGCTCCTATTATCCTTCAGACCGCCATGAATGTTGTCGTTTGTCTAGGCAATATGTTCTTTGTTGTGCTCTCCTACGGGGCCGTGATTCTAACCCTGATGAAAACCTCTCGCCAAGGCAACCGGACAAAGTCCTTCTCCACCATATCTTTCCACTTAGTGGTGGTGGCGCTTTTCTATGGCCCCGTGGCAGGGTCTTATGTAGTCCCGGTTGGAGAAGGCGAGATGAAGGTCATTAAGGTCATAACACTCTTCTACACTGCCGTGACACCCTTTCTCAACCCCATTATCTATTGTCTGAGAAATGATCAGGTGAAGGAGGCACTAGGCAGGTTGTGGAAGAGAAAGACAATATTTCTGATGAGGAGAGTGACTGTGTAGGGAGGTGAGAAGAAGGTGGGGAAGAAACACCCAACCTCCCGGCAACATTAATACATTCAACCTTTGGACAAGAAGGGTATCTTTCCTTGATCATAGATTCAGGTGGGGTAGCCGTGTTGGTCTGAAGCAATCAGGGCCGGCTCATTCACTAGGCAAACTAGGCAATCGCCTAGAGTGGGCCAGCCCTTAGGGGCGCCAAGCTGCACCCGGCCCCGTACTCTGGGAGTTTCTTGATTATTTGTGTTTTTCATTCTTCCTAAAATGCATTTATTTTTTAAAATTGGTGGGCGCATGGGGGGGGGGCGCCAGAAGGGATCCTCGCCTAGGGTGCAAAATAAGCTGGGGCCGGCCTTGGAAGCAATAGAAATAAGTCTGAGTCCAGTGGCACCGTTAAGACCAACAAGTTTAATTCTGGGTATAAGCTTTCGTGTGCACACACACCGTATCTGAAGAAACGTGCTTGCACATGAAAGCGTATACCCAGAATTAAACTCGTTGGTCTTAAAGGTGCCCCTGGACTCAGACTTTGCCCTGTTTCCCTGATCAGTGTGTCTTAGATTGCCAGTCAGAAAGCCTTCCCATTAAGCTGGGGAAAGAGCCAAGCTTGTTGCTTCCTTGGAAACCCAGAGGCCACCTCAAGGTATTTCTCTGACCGCTTTGTGAACCAGAACCCAAATCTGCAAACATTTTAAGCCCAAGGTTATTGAGATCTCTCTGTCGTGCAACTCTTCTGTGATGCTTAAAATGAAAGGCTTGGTCTGTTCTTTTTATACAGCAGCCTCAACCGTATGGTTTTTAAAAAGGTCAAGGTTCCCTTGCTCGAAAGCCAGTCGAATCCGACTCTAGGGTTGCGGTGCTCATCTCCATTTCCAAGCCGAAGAGCCAGCGCTGTCCGAAGACGTTTCCGTGGTCATGTGGCCGGCATGCCTTTGTTTGTTCTATTTGTATACTTTGATTAGATTTTAAAGAACTGCATGTGACCTTTAACATGTAGACATATACCCAAAGCGTTTGATTAGCCTGTCAAAGTTCCTTGTTACTCTCTTTGTAGTTTTAGTTTTGTAGTTTATAGTTTGTAGTGTGTAGTAAGAAAACAATAACAATTATATATATATTAAAAAAAGAAGTCCAGGGATGCTGTGCAGAGGCAAGCAATGGCAAAACCCCCACGGGGCTGCCGTAAGTCAGCTGTGACTTGATGGCAAAAGAAAAGTTGGCATGTGTACAACTTTAGTCTCCTTTTAAAGCCCTCAAAGCCAGTAGTGTCTATCACCAGATCAATTGGCAGTAACTCCTGAAGAAATACTTCATTTGTATGTCCTAAATGATCCAGGGCTATTTTTGGGCAGGAACGCACAGGAACGGAGTTCCAGCGGGCTCCCGAGTTGGCCACGCCCAGCAGGAACTCATTAGCATAATAGGCCACACCCAACAGCAGACACTCATTAGGATTGGCTACATTAGGGTTGTGTGGCCTAACATGCAAAGGAGTTCCTGCATCAAAAAAAGCCCTGGGTTTTGACAACAAACAAGGTAAACAGAATAAGAAGCAAAAGGTGAGTGAGGCTGGATGACCACACTTCTGGTAACATGGGGGTGTGGCCTAATGTGCTAATGAGCTGTGTTGTCAGGGGTGTGACCTAATATGCTAATAAGTTTCTGCTGTTGGGTGTGGCCTATTATGCTAATGCGTTCCTGCTGGGCTTTTTCTACAAAAAGAGCCCTGCGCTAAACCTCCTGCCTATCAGTTTCACTGGGCAAAGTGTTTCAAAGCATTCTTGAGCTTGAATTGTGTTGCTTACGATGTTAGCTTTACATCTCATATTTCTGTGCTCAGTTATCTCTTTTTTGCCTCCTTGGAAAATGACTAGACATAAAACAAAATACTTAGCACAAGGCGACCCATATCTTCAAAGCAAAGGCCCCCATCGCCTTATTTTGCACTCCGTCTGCTATCAAAGATGTGCAGTCCGTACTTGAACAAGTCAAACATTCATTTCCCATTTATTGCTTTTGAAGAATTGTAGTCCCCTTCGCCGCCACCTCTGCCACCAGGCTGTCCACACAAGGTTCTCTCCCACCCACCCCAGATGCACGCGTTGGATTTGCCATCATCAGGGGTCATTTCCTGCCGGAGCGCACAGGAGCGGAGCTCCGGCAGTAAAGAGCCCAGGAGGTGGGCACATGCAACAAGCCCCACCCCCTGCTTCCAGCAGCCCTCAGTCAGAGTAAGAAACAACCAGGTAAGTTGCAGAGCCCCCCCCAAAAAACAGTCCAGTGGCACCTTTAAGACCAAGTTTTATTCAGGCACAAGCTCTCCCTCCTCTGTGAGGACAGATCTGCATGTCCCCCCCCCCATAGCTAGCAATCCAAAAGAGTCCAGTGGTGCCTGAGCAGTGGGTGTTGCCTTCTCACACACTTCCAGTGATGTCAGGGGGCGTGGCATATGCAAATAAGTTATGCTAATGAGTTATGCTAATGAGCTCCTGCATCTCATTTCCTACGAAATGACCCCTGGCCATCATACTGTTTTTGCCAGGCGGGAGCCAGGCCAACCATACACATGAGGGGCAAGTGGCTCCCACTGGGAGAAGGAAAAGGAGGCCACACAAGACACCATTTGGCCTTCAGCTCCTATCTCTGTTAGCGAGAGAAGAAGAGGAAGAAGAAGAGAAGAGATTGGATTTATAGCCCGCCCTTCACTTGGAGTCCCAGAGCGGCTCACAAACTCCTTTCCCTCCCCCTCCCCACAACAGACACCCTGTGAGGTGGGTGGGGCTGAGAGAACTCTGACAGAAACGGCTCTTTTTCAAGGACAGCTGTGCCAGAGCTTGTGACTGACCCAAGGTCACATCAGCAGGTGCAAGTGGAGGAGTGGGGACTCAAACCCGGTTCTCCCAGATTAGAGTCCGCGCACTTAACGACTACACCAAACTGGCTCTTTTCCAAGTACCGTACAGAATGGTGGCTCATTGCCTCAGTCAATCCAACACTGTTCAGGGAGAATAATATCTAGCCAAGGTTTCTGCCAGACACATCAGGGAGAGTCTTGTTTTGATCTTCTGGCAGCAAGTCTTCCCTTGGGAGATGCATCAATAGGACTTGGTGACATCAGTTATTGGGTGGAACCTTTTTCTATCACCTCTCCCTTGAACTGCAGACGTTTTCCTATAATAAGTCAAAGTTACTAATACATTTCATTGTTCATAACGGTCCATAGCAGACACAGAATTCCAAAGGGGGCTTACCTGTGGAAACTGCCTGTTTCTCTATTCCCTGGAAGAGCTAAGCTGCCTCCAAAGAGGCAATATTGTGGCTTCTATTGATGTTGCTCTACAGGGACCCTTTCCCAAGGGGCACCAAATATTTATCAGCAGCATTCCACTTTGCCCTTCCCACATAGCCACTCCGTCTTCCCGCTATCTGACCACATGACCAACGCTACAGTTGGGCATCATCGTCCAACACCAGGAAAAACGACGTATGTCTTCACAAGATTTCACCCCTGACCTTATGATGAAGCTTTTGCTGGATGGAGCAGCATTTTAAACACTACTAAGGTACAGAAATGGGAACCTTAAGAAGGTTGCGGAAAGCAGGATGAATCTGAATGGGTGTCACAGTCAATCAACAGATGTGAGCGTCATCAAAGAAATTACAATAGGCCAATATAAAGCTATGTCTGTTGAAAGAGAGTGTGGGAAGGCTTACAACATCCCTGTGATGCTTTTGGCCTCCTTGATTTTAACTTGGTTAATAATAAAGTCAGGAGGGAAGGCAAGATGGGGTAGCCCAGTCTTATCAGTTCTTGGAAGCTAAGCACGGTCAGTACCAGTGTTCCCTCTAAGCTGAGTTAGTGTGAGCTAGCTCACAGTTTTTTAGCCTCCGGCTCACACATTTTTGTCTGAGCTCAGGAAGGATGGCTCCAGAGCAAACTAATTGATGCAGTAGCCAAATCGCTCGCTCACAATTTTAATGCCAGTAGCTCACAAGCTAGAAGTTTTGCTCACAAGACTCCACAACTTAGAGGGAACATTGGAAGGGTGACCGCCAGGGAAGGCTTCCCCTAGGCAATGGTAAACCTCCCCCCCCCCCGCTTCTCGCTTGCCTCACTGGAGTTGCCATAAGTCAGTGGAGACTTGATAACACATAAATAAGTAATAATGAAGTCAAAGACCCATTTTGCTGCCTTTTTATATATATATATAAACTCTCCTAAAAAGGAGAGAATTTTATTGCTTTTAATTTCAGAAAGACGGAGGGTATATAGCGGGATTAAGAAAAGAGTGAGTGATGCTTTTATTAGCATATTAATCTTTTGTTAGTATTAATCATATCTTCTTTTGGCTTCTTCTGTGAGTTGATCAATCGTCTTTCATCTTATCCTGTGAAAACAAATAGAAATGTTAGTGTATTAGTATTGTTAGTAAAGTCTTTTCATGCGCTTCCCAAACCAATCTTCATGTTCTGGGCTGTCTTCCTTTTATGTCTCTCAGATTGTAAGATGGACCTTTCGCTGCTCCTTCATCTTCCGGACTCTTGTCCCCTTTCTCTGAGCCGCTGTCTTCGTCGCTGCCAAATACCTCCCATTTACCATTTTGCTGCCTTTTTTTATAGAATTCTGCCTTTTTATAGAATTATAGAATTCTGCCTGCAAACCTGCAGAGTTATTGAGAGGGCATAAATGTGGCAAAGTGCAAATCTAGTGGTGTTCGGAAAGACAACAATCGTCAGTCAAAGTCTAAGCACCCCACCAAAATGCACAGACATGAGACCAGAGGAATGCTCTGAGCAGAACAGGCTAAGCAAGTCCCCTCCTAACTGGGACATTGCTTGGGGGGGTCCCAGGTGAACAACAGTTGGCTTCCAAGGGGTGAGGAAGATGGAGGTAATAAATGAAAAGCAGGAGGATATACTTACTTTGATGTGACATGTTCAGTTTCTGGGCTCAGTGCTTTGAAAATAATTTAGGGACGCAGGATCAGTTGCAGAAGAGGGCAGTGAAGGTGGTCATGCAAACAAACATGGACGGCTTCAAAGGGGAATTAGATAGGCATATGGAGCAGAGGTCCATCAGTGGCTATTAGCCACAAGGTATAGATAGGGGCTCTGGGGCAAGTGATGCTCTGTCTTCTTGGTGCTTGGGGGGGGGCGTGTCAATCAGTGGGAGGGCTTCTAATGTCCTGGCCCCACTGGTGGACCTCCTGATGGCACCTGGTATTTCTGGCCACTGTGTGACAAAGAGTGTTGGACTGGATGGGCCTTTGGCCTGATCCAACATTGGTGTCTCTTATGTTCTTATGTCTGGGGCAAGTGATGCTCTGTCTTCTTGGTGCTTGGGGGGGTGTCAATCAGTGGGAGGGCTTCTAATGTCCTGGCCCCACTGGTGGACCTCCTGATGGCACCTGGTATTTCTGGCCACTGTGTGATACAGAGTGTTGGACTGGATGGGCCTTTGGCCTGATCCAACATTGGTGTCTCTTATGTTCTTAAGTCCTGTGAGAAAACGCTGAAGCAACTGGGCATGTTTAGTCAGGTGAAGGGAAGAGCGAGGAAATGTGATTGTGTGATTGCATGTTCCAGATACTCGAAGGGCTGCCACACAGAGGAAGGCAAAAAACAACAACCCAGGTTCTCTGCTGTCCCAGAGTACAAGACCTCATCTAATGGGCTGGTGTTGCAGAGGGTAGATTTCAGCTGAGTATGAGAAGAAGCTTTGTGATGGAGAGAATAGTCCAACAACGGAACCAATTCCCTATAAGTGTGGTGGGCTCTCCCTTGCTGGAGGACTTCAGCCAGAGCATAGCGAGCCATCTGTGGGGAATGCACTTGCTGTGGTTCTTCTGAGCTGAGCAGAGGGTTAGCCTACATGGCCAGTAAGGCCCCTTCCAACTCTATGAATGGTTCTATGACGAGCATCCAGGAAGAAATCCAAAGATGCCGAGTTTGGACAGACCGAGCCTCCTTCCCTCACAGTTTGGTCTTGGTGGAAACGTCCAGCTACGTCAAGAACTTCTAAGAAGCTTCTTGTATCATTTAGCAATGCTGAGAATTATTGTCATGGTTATTGTAGGAACGGGTAAGGTCTGAGGAGATAAGGTGGGAGAGAAACGTTTTAAATAAATAGGTTACTGAATTGCTTCAGGCAAGCAGCCTGCACCCTTTTCAGCCTTCTAATACATCCTGAAACGCAGTTAGCCAAGGGAGGCTCCTTTCGATAGCTGGAAAATGAATGCATTGAAGTTTGGTGTCGTGGTTAAGTGCGCGGACTCTAATCTGGGAGAACCGGGTTTGATTCCCCACTCCTCCACTTGCACCTGGCTGGATGACCTTGGGCAAGCCATAGCTCTGATAAGAGCTGTCCTTGAAAAAGAGCAGTTTGTGTCAAGAGCTCTCTCAGCCCCACCTACCTCACAGGGTGTCTGTTGTGGGGAGGGGAAGGGAAGGGAGTTTGTAAGCCATTCTGAGACACCTTTGGGTAGTGAAGGGCGGGGTATAAATCCAATCTCTTCTTCTTCTTTTACCTCACAGGGTGCCTGTTGTGGGGTGGGGAAGGGAAAGGTGTTTGTGAGCCGCTCTGAGACACCTTTGGGTAGTGAAGGGCAGGGTATAAATCCAATCTCTTCTTCTTCTTCTTCTTCTTCTTCTTCTTCTTCTTCTTCTTCTTCTTCTTCTTCTTCTTCTTCTTCTTCTTCTTCTTCTTCTTCTTCTTCTTCTTCTTCTGTCTACTAAGTCAGCCCGCAGGTCTATCAAGGTCAGCACTGTCTACTCTGACTAACCCCAGTTCTCCATGGTCTCAGGCAAGGGTATTCGCATGTCACTGACACTGAGTCCCGACACCTTCCAATGCCAGCAGACCCCGTATTTTTCATCTTACGGAAGTCTCTGGCTCAGATCTTGGCTCAGCTCATGAGGGGAATGTAGGCAAGATTCTTCATTCTTCATTTCATTGGGACCTCACCAGTTTTATGGGGGTTCATAATATCAGCACACTTGATACGGTTCTTCTGAAGAAGCCTGGGATGTCATACGAAGTCCTTTAAATACTTGGTATGAATTTCCAAAGGTTTTTAAGCAAAAAAGAAAAGAAAAAAGTAGAACGATTCCAGATAACGAATGCTTATTCCTCCGTTTATATATATATAGATACGATTTCAGATAACTAATGCTTATTCCTCCGTTTATATATATATATAGATATACACAGACATATATACATATATATGCACAGACACAGACACACATATCAATGTTCCCTCTAAGCTGTGGAGTCTTGTGAGCAAAAATTCTACTTTGTGAGCTACTGGCATGAAAGTTGTGAGCGAGCGATTTGGCTGCTGCATAAATTAGTTTGCTCTGGAGCCGTCCCCTCCTGAGCTAAGACAAGAATGTGTGAGCCGGAGGCTAAAAAACTGTGAGCCAGCTCACACTAACTCAGCTTAGAGGGAACACTGACACATATATGTTTCCTCCCTTGTGTTTTTTGGTAATTTCACCCGCACAGGGGTGTCTAACAATAATTCTGCTAGTTGCTGTAGATTTTCCAGGTTGCGTGGTCGTGGTCTTGGCATTGTAGAACCTGACGTTTCGCCAGTAGCTGTGACTGGATCCACAGAGACCACAGCCACACAACCCGGAAAATCTACAGCAACTCATGAACTCCGGCCGTGAAAGCCTTCGATGTCATAATAATTCTGCTATCTGATTCCAGATGGATCCAGCCAACAGGACTGGAGTGGAGGAATTCGTTTTGCTGGGATTTGAAGTCGGGCAGCAGAAACGGCTCCTGCTTCTCACCTTCTTCGCCATTCTCTACGTGCTCACTCTGGCCGAGAACATCACCATCATCGTACTGGTGGTTCTGGACACCCACCTGGCCCGCCTTCCCATGTACATCCTGCTGAGCAACTTCTCCTGGCTGGAGATGTGCTACGTGAGCGCCACAGTCCCCCGGATGCTCTTTGACCTTACGTCCCCTCAAGGGGCCATCTCCTTCCATAACTGCTTCATTCAGTTCTACATCTTCTTTGCTCTCGGCAGCACCGAATGCTTCTACCTTTCGGCCATGGCCTTGGATCGGTACCTGGCCATCTGCCACCCGCTGCGCTACCCGCAAATCATGTCCCCAAACTCCTGCTACGGTCTGGTGGGTTCTTGTTGGGCCGTCGGCTTCCTGTGGTACCTCGTCCCGGCCGTTTTGATCTCCAGGCTGTCCTTCTGCAGGTCCAACGTCATCGACCACTTTCTGTGTGATGCCGGGCCCATTCTGTCCCTGGCCTGCCCTCCGCTAGGAGCCGCGCCCGTCATCAGCCAGTTTTGCCTGAACGCTCTGATCATCGGCAATATGTTCTTTGTCGTGCTCTCCTACAGCATCATGGTGAACACTCTAATGAAAGCGTCCAGCCAAGGCAGTCGGATGAAGGCCTTCTCGACCATATCGTTCCACTTACTGGTGGTGACTCTTTTCTATGGCTCAGTGGCAGGGATGTACTTGATTCCGGGTGGGGAAAACCAGTCAGCCATAACTAAGGCCGTGACACTCTTCTACACCGCCGTGACACCCTTCCTCAACCCCATGATCTACTGCCTGAGAAACAATCAGGTGAAAGAAGCCCTGGTCAGGCTCCTGAAGAGAAAGGAGACAGTGTAAACAGAGGGGGAGGACAGAAAAATTGAGGGGGGGGGGAAATCCCACCTTCTGGAAAATTAGGACCAAGTGGTATATCTATCTTTCCTCTGGGTTTTTACGGCCTGTACTACGTATGCATGTGCTGCTGAGCCACAACTGACTTACGGCGACGCCAACAAGAGGCTTTCGTGGCAAGTGGCTAAGCAGAGGTGGCTTGCCATCGCCTTCCTCTGGCGAGCCTTCCTTGGTGGTCTCCCATCCAAGTACTGATCCTGCTTCACTTCCAGGATCTAATGAGATCAGGCTATACCGTGCTGCCTTATGACCTGTACTAGATGCCCAAAATTAAGGTTTGGAACTAAGTTGCGGAAGACCTTGTTGGTTTCTTGGCAACAACATACCAGAACAAGACAGTTTCCCACTTAGAAACAAAAGACGAGTCATGAAAATATATAGAATGTGAAAAATCAGCCAGGCAGAAATCCTGGAACCTAATAATAGGCAACAGTAAAATAAAATGGGTGCTCTGTTCTATTCTGTGTGTCTATTTGTGTGTGTGTGTGTGATTTATATTAATTATCACATGGCAGTGTGTGTAGTATAGCCAGAAGATCCTGAGATTGTCTGGCAGCCAGAGGTTCCAGCTCTTTTAGTATTATGTACCACTAGGTGGCGAGCTAGACTAGTTTTTAAGGCAAGAGACATTGCAGAGGTAGTTTGCCATTGCCAGCTGGGTGACCTTGGGTCAGTCACAAGTTCTCTCAGCGCTGTTCTCTCAAGGGCAGTTGTCTTAGAGCTCCCTCAGCCCCACCTACCCCACAGGCAATGTTCCCGCTAAGCTGTGGGGTCTTGTGAGCAAAAATTCTACTTTGTGAGCTGCTGGCATTAAAGTTGTGAGCGAGCGATTTGGCTGCTGCATAAATTAGCTTGCTCTGGAGCCCTCCTTCCTGAGCTAAGACAAAAAATGTGTGAGCCGGAGGCTGAAAAACTGTGAGCTAGCTCACAGTAACTCGGTTTAGAGGGAACACTGCCCACAGGGTGTCTGTTGTGGGGAGGGGAAGGGAAAGGAGATTGTAAGCCGCTCTGAGACTCCTTCAGGGAGTGAAGGGTGGGGTATAAATCCATCTTCTTCTTCCCATCCAAATACTAGTATTTAGGTCAGTTATTTAGCTTTTTTTAATGCTCCCTCTAAGCTGTGGAGTCTTGTGAGCAAAAATCCTACTTGGTGAGCTCCTGGCATTAAAGTTGTGAGCGAGCTACTTGGCTCCTGCATCAATGAGCTTGCTCTGGAGCCCTCCTTCCTGAGCGGAGACAAAAATGTGTGAGCCGGAGACGGAAAAAAACTGTGAGCTAGCTCACACTCACTCAGCTCAGAAGGTATATTCCTGCACATTCTTTTAATAAATCACTTTAATTACAAATACTAGCCAGGGCCGACCCTGCTTAGCTTCCGAGATCAGGTTAGCCTGGGTGTGTGTGTGTGTTCTATGAAATGCACCCAACATGAGATGGATTGACTCAGTAAAAGGAAGCCACAACACATAGTGTGCAAGACCAGAACAAGGCTGTTAAGGTAGGATGTTTTGGAGGACATTAATTCACAAGGTTGCCATACGTCGGAAGCGACCTGACGGCACATGACAGGTGAGAGGCTGTGTGTGCGGATGTGCGTCATTCCAACCGTCGATGCAACGAAGACAAAAGGTGCCGGCATCAGCGTCCCATGTGAGGACAGCCCCAGCCAGAGAACCAAGAGGCAGGTGGCTGGAAGGGTGCAGATGTTTGGGGTCTGGATCGTGCGGGTTCAGTGCAATGCAGGCAGCACCGCTTGGGAGCCCCTGCAAGTATTCAGGAGTGATCTAAAACCAGACCACAATCCACAGTCACTCAATCACGCCAGGCTTACGGCGACACTCCAAGCTGAGTTACGTTCTTCTACGTCCAGTGAAGTCAGTGGTATTAAAAGGGTATAACTCTGCTTTGGAGTGCACTGCTGGCCAAGTCCCTGTCTCTTGGTCTAGCTTGCATCCTGCAAGGAGGTTTAGCACACCTTCTATTCGGAAAAAATTACCATGAAATGACTAGTATTCATAAGCTAGCCAGACACGGAGATTGGCACTAGTCCCAAGGACTTAGAATCACAGAATCTTAGAGTTGGAAGGGATCTCCAGGGTCATCTAGTCCAGCCCCCTGCACAATGCAGGACATTCACAAATACCTCCCCACACACACACCCAGTGACCCCAGAAGAGGACAAAAAGCCTCCAGGATCCCCAGCCAAACTGGCCTGGAGAAAAATTGCTTCCTGACCCAAAGTGACGATCAGCATTTCCCTGGGTGTGTAAGAAAGGGCCACGAGAACTAAGCACTGAGGCAGCCCTTCCTGCCTTCCCTCTCATGGTCTGAGTCCACAGAATCAGCATGGCTGTCCGATGGCCATCTAGCCTCTGTTTGAAACCCCCCCAAAGAAGGAGAGCCCACCACCTCCCGAGGAAGCCTGATTCCACTGTGGAATTTGCTCAGGATGACTGCAAAATGGGGAGCAGACCCCGTTCTCTCCCTCCAATTTTCACACCATTAACATAAATTTAACTACATTTACACCCAGCCTTTCTTCCACCATGAAACTCAGCAGCTTACAAAGGGGTCTCCCCTCCAGAGAGCCAGTTTGGTGTCGTGGTCAAGTGCGCGGACTCTATAATCTGGGAGAACCGGGTTTGATTCCCCACTCCTCCACTTGCACCTGCTGATGTGACCTTGGGTCAGCCACAAGCTCTGGCACAGCTGTCCTTGAAAAAGAGCATTTTCTGTCAGAGCTCTCTCTCAGCCCCACCCACCTCCCAGGGTGTCTGTTGTGGGGAGGGGAAGGGAAAGGGGTTTGTAAGCCGCTCTGAGACTCCAAGTGAAGGGCGGGGTATAAATCCAATCTCCTCTTCTCTTCTTCTCCAGGCAATGACCAGACCCCAGTCCTGCTTAGCATCAACTCTTCCTCCCCCCCTTCCCAGAAGCAGGACCGGAGGGTCCCAGCTCTCCAAATCCATCCCTTCCCCGTCCTATCGTTGTAAGCCGCTACAGCTTACGTGGCTTCAGACCCCAAATTCAGGGGGAGCCTGCCACCTCAGGGCGACACTGTCCCGGGGAATTCCACCAGACTTAAACCAGGACGAGAGGACAGCCATCTTGGCGACATTCCCATTGTTTGCATTTGAACTTTCGTGGCTCGCTTTCTTGGCTTCCCCCCGTGGGAGCCAATTAAGAAGACTCGCAGCAACACTTGCTAAAGTTGGGCAATTAGAGGGCACGCAGGCAGTCTTTGCCCTGCCAAGTCAAGAGAGGTCACAGGGAGGTGAGCCTGGCTGTTCCTTGGGGGGGTGGGCAGAACTTGTCTCTCTTTAGTTGTCCGCTAGAAGGAGCTGCGGTGGCTCAAGTGGTTAAGACGCTGAACTGCTGGCTGTGGAAGGCCGGCAGTTCAGCAGTTCGAGACCCGAGTGTGCCGCATGACGGAGTGAGCTCCCGTCTCTAGTTCCAGCTCCTACCAACCTAGCAGTTCGAAAGCAAGACATTGCAAGTGGATAAATAGGGACCACTAAGGTGGAAAGGTGTTTAGTCATGCCAGCCACATGACCACGGAAATGGCTTCAGACAGCGCTGGCTCTTCGGCTTTGAAACGGAGATGAGCACCGTAACCCTAGAGTCAGATTCGACTGGCTTTCGAGCAAGGGAACCTTTACCTTTTAGAAGGGTGATATGGGGCTGATTCTTGGCTCGAATTTAACAATAGGGCTCCTTAAAGCCGGGGGTGGGGGGGGAGCTTGAAATGGCACAAAAGGGAGGAATGTCTGCTGCAGCAGTTTCCGCCAGCTGGAGGAGTGGCGGTGGGAGAAGTTAACCTGTTGGGATTTTCTTCTATGTACAGCTGATTAGAAAGTTCTGCAGATAAAACTGGCAATCCTCAACATTAGCAAAAGGTGAAGAGGGAACATAAGAGAACATAAGAGAAGCCAATGTTGGATCAGGCCAATGGCCCATCCGGTCCAATACTCTGTGTCACACAGTGGCCAAAAATACCAGGTGCCACCAGGAGGTCCAGCAGTTGGGCCGGGGCACTAGAAGCCCTCCCACTCTTGCCCCCCCCCCAGGCACCAAGAATACCTGCCCCAGATCACTTGCCCCAGATCGAGAGTTCCTATAAGAACATAAGAGAAGCCAATGTTGGATCAGGCCAATGGCCCCTCCAGTCCAACACTCTGGGTCACACAGCGGCCAAAAATACCAGGGGCCATCAGGAGGTCCACCAGTGGGGCCAGGGTGAAGGGCTTCCTTTTATCTGTTCTAGCCCGACCGCTCAGCAAATTCATGGAGTGCCCACGAGTTCTTGTATTGTGAGAAAGGGAGAAAAGTACTTCTTTCTCAGCCTGCTCTATCCCATGCATAATCCTCTAGACCTCGATCATGTCACCCCTCAGTTGCCGTTTCTCCAAGCTAAAGAGCAGGTCTAGTGTGTGTGTGTGGGGTTACAAATTATTAGGATAATGAATGGGAATGACCCTGACTGGTTGGCCTGATCTCGTCAGATCCCAGAAGCGAAGCAGGGTGGGTTCTGGTCAGTGTTTGGATGGGGGCCCCCCAAAGGAATACCAAGGTCGTGACATGGAGGCACTCAATGGTAAACCAGCTCTGAACCTCTCTTGTCTTGCAAACCCCCACAGGGTCACCGGAAGTTAGCTGAAGTGAGAGATAGACTCAAATTTTGAGCCTAACGACACTTTCTATGCAATTTTATTTTATATTTATTTATTTTTCATATTTGTATCCCGCCCTCTCCGATGGGCTCAGGGCGGCTCACAAGGGCAAGGTACATCCATGCCATGATTAAAACCTATAATACATAATAAAAACATCCAACATCATTAAAAACAACGGTGCTCAGTCAGTTATTAATATCGTGACTCCAAGATGGATCAACTCAGTTCCAAGTGTCCCATGATGTTATGCCCGCACGGAGACGGCTTATCAGGTCTTCTATCCAATTCCAGATTCTTCCTCAGGGCCTTGTCAGTGCATCCTTTAAGGTACCGTGACGGTGGTGGTATAGTGGGGCGGCGGCTCAAAGGCCTGGCGGAAGAGCTCCTTCTTACAGGACCTGAGGAACTTTGTGTACCAGCACCCCAACATATTTAAATGTTGAATGGAAAATTGGCTGGAATGGTAAGGGGGATATGCTTGACCCTGTCCCAACTGCCTATTCTTCCTGCTCACAACTGCAGGCACTCATCGACTTCTTCCTCTTCCAAGAGCAGTTACAGTCCCTGTATCTTTTCCCCACACGGCAAAAAATAAAAGCTGTGGGGGGAGGGGAGGTTGAGCCAAGTAAAGACACACACACACACCCCAGTCTCGCTCTCAGGAATGCAGCTTCTCAGCGATGTTTGTCATTAAACAAACAGCAACCCAAACAGTCAGAGAAAAATCACACACAGCATCACGTGTCGTTCAACCCTTAAGTTCCTCACATCGCACTTAAACCTGACCTGCAGGAGTCAATGGAATTGAACTGAGATATTACAGTAGACACCAGGGGGCAGCAGTGCATGAAGGATGGGGAAATGGAAGGGAAGATGACATTGGGATGCGTGCCTTGATTTTCAGCACACGTATTCCTGCAAGCCACACTCCATCACGTACCCCCTTTGCTGAAATGCCAACAGGCCACACAACGGACGGTGAGGCTTAACGGGATCCGTGCGAGTAGCTGGTGCAGAGCACGGAGTATGAAGCAAAGGCCTTCCCGGTAGAGCTCCTCTGTGTCCTTGCAGGGCTCCTTCCTAATTCCTCCAAGCTGAGACCTATGCTGGAGATGGCCAGCTTCAGGGCCTTCGGGGCCACTCCACCGTCCAAGGGCCAGGAATAGGGTTTGTCTCGAACACTGAGGCCCCTTGCCCAACAGCCGGCCTCCACAATCAATACCAGAGCCATCTGGAAGGGTTTCATAATTAAGAACGGGCCTTCACACACAGCTTTATAAATGGGAAGATGTGCCCATTGTTGTGTACTCAGACAAAGACAAACTTGTTCACATCTCGGCGTACGACTCCCTTCTTTCTTACAGCTGGAAAAGCCCCCTCCCCCCCACACACCTTTTTAAAAGAGACGATGGGCAACTTTTTAAACGTTAACCTCTGGTAGGGCCATCAGAGGCCAGCGTTCCAATAAAAACTGACTGCTCCGGTGGGGCCACTCTAGCACTTTGTTATAGGATGCCGCTGTATTTATTTACTGAGTCTTATTGTATTTATTGAAATTGTATGAATTGCATTTTATATTTTGTATCTGCTGGTTTTAAGCTGTATGCTGGTTTTAAATTGTTTGTAAGCCGCCCTGAGCCACTTCGGCGGGAGGGCGGGGTAGAAATTTAATAAAGAAAGAAACAAACCAATGCTTAAAAAGGTAAAGGTTCCCTTGCTCGAAAGCCAGTCGAATCCGACTCTAGGGTTGCGGTGCTCATCTCCGTTTCAAAGCCGAAGAGCCAGCGCTGTCCGAAGACGTTTCCGTGGTCATGTGGCCGGCATGACTAAACACCAAGGCGCACGGAACGCTGTTACCTTCCCACCAAAGTGGTACCTATTTATCTACTTGCAATTTCTTGCTTTCGAACTGCTAGGTTGGCAGGAGCTGGAACTAGAGATGGGAGCTCACTCCATCATG